ACATGTCAGCATTTACTAATTGAAATTAAACCGGACAAAATTAATTCTCATCTCGGTTTGTCACATTCTGATTTTTTGAGTTTTTTTGACAAAATGGGTTTGGGCTCTTTAAAATATAATGGCCAGTTATAGAATGATTTTTGTATTATCCAACTTGCAGAATTTGTTTTAAGATTTACACACAATTTCAGTCCGTTAAATCGTCTTCTTACCTTAGGTTTCAGAGATCAAACCGACGGTTATCTTTTTGTAAAAAAATTTTTTTTACTTTTTTGTAAAGTTTGTTCTCATGCATCCTTATATTTCATATAAAATAATTAACACTTGCACAACTTATAACTAACAAACAAGGTGCATTGTTTGTATTACATATATTGCAACATCTTCGACGTTGTAGTGTACACAATTTAAACTAACAAAGGATAATAATTAACACAAATTAATAGAATTATGAAGACACCATCATAGAAAATTATGAACACTTTCATAACTCATATAAGATTACACAAACTACAGAGCTAATGAACACTTGCACAACTTCTAAAAAATAAACAAAGAGCAGAGCATATATCACTTTGTTTAAACAAAGGTCGGAGCTTATATCACTTTGGTTTATGATTGCCACATATATAAGAATCTGTTCAAAAAAATGATTGCCACATATACAAGGTTTTAGATGAGAAATTTATAAGTAACAAACTGATAATAATTAATTAACACAAAATAATAAAATTAAGAAGTTACCATTACAGAAAATTATGAACACTTGCACATCTCATAAAAAATTAGACACATTTCAGAGCTTATATAACCTATATTGACACATCATATACGCTTAGAAGACAAGTTTATAAATAACAAACTGCTAAAAATTAACAAAAAAAAAATTGGATTTAAGAAGCTATAACCTTACAAATTAAAGTTTATTGTTGCAGGGTGCCTACACGCCTCCCAACTGAATGATTAGCTCACATTGTAAATGCAGTGTAACTGCAAAAGCCAGTAGTTACGTATCTCCTACATTCTTTTACTACACAGTTCTGATGCAACCTCTTGATTCCTAATTACTCAATTATTACGATTTTCAGAAATAATGGTGAAGACGCCAGTTGAATTTAATGGCAAAGCAACCACGGGAGATCTCCCAAAAATCTTAGTGTTTCTGAACACTCCACCGCATCATCATCATATCTAACCAAAAGAATTCATAAAAAGAAAAAAAAAATTGGTCCAAAGGAGACGTAAACTAATTCTTTATGACTTTGACAACTTACTCTTTTGTAAAAAAATTTATGTACTTATTCCTACTCTTTCTTTTTACCTCCAGTATCTGAACCATGGCAGCCTTGGCTACAAGATAAATATCTACCACCCACACCAACCCCCCTCCCCCCATATCGGACACCTATCAGCTGAAGCTCATCTTAATAGTGAGGGAATAAATCAGTACTTCTTCCACCACAAATCAATCAAAGCACTCAATCACCTCACATGTGCCAATCTGCTTATGGAAAATACGATAAGGGTATGTATCTTTGGGGATTAGTAATGTTGTGCGGAGGAAACCTCAGAAGGAAAATATTTCTTTGATTTCCTTGACTAGGAACACACACTATCAAAATCCGATCGCTGCTGGAATAAGATTAAGAGGTTCAAGTACTTTGGATATCCGATCAGATTTCTTTGATACACTATTGTGGCAATGCTATCAAGAAACTTATGTTCGGGACAAGAACGTTCTCTGAAAACACTGCACCTGACGGTGGACCAATGGCAGAGGACATTGAGCATATGGAAGCTATGTTTGAAGCTTTAGGGTTTAAGTTCGCCTTTTGTATCTCTGATTATCTATATATGCTCACGGGACTTGCTTTTAACGATCACGAGAATGGTGGCGTTTAAGATATAAACGATCAGTCTAGGATTGTTACTATTTTGTGTATAAGATATAAACGATCAGTCTAGGATTGTTACTATTTTAAGAGGACGGAACTATATATTATCTTCCTTGAAACAACATAATCACAAACAAACACAACTATTTACATTTTTCATTTACAAACATGAACTTTACTTTATGTTTAAGTATTTACTAAATTAACTTTGTAAAGTCTATCAAATTTTTACTATACTTTTATTTGTTTCGATTAATAACAACCACTTATGCTACTCCACTAATAATCAGAAAAGATCATTGTCTTCAACATAGTTACAACATCAAATTTTGAACATAATCTCTTCACCAAGGCCACAAAATAAATCAAAATTTCTTTTATAATAACATATATGAATCCGGCGCGTAGCGCCGGTACACCACTAGTTATTTATGAAATATGCAAAGGAAAGTTTTCAAACTTCTCTCTTTCGTAAAACATTTACTTAATTAAATGTACAATATACTTAATGATACAAATCTGAGATTTAATGACTCATTTTCCTTAAATGCATATTTTTTTATAATCATTATTGGTAATTGTGATTTGTTTAGTTATTAATGTAAGTTTTTTCTTGGTTTATTACTTTTAAAATGAATTAAATAAATTGACAATAAAAACCGTCAACCAATCAAATGAAAATAATTAATTGAAGATGTATCTTATGATTGACACATCAGAAAGAAAAAAACACTAAGTATTAAAGTGACTACTCAATTAATGTATAGTAGGATGAGAATATGATATTTTAAATATAAAAAAATACTCTAATCATTTATAAAATGATAAATTAACTATAATATCATATTGTAAATTACAATGACTGAAATTTTTTAAATTATTTATTTGACTGTTTTACATTCATTTGACACATTTTTATAATATATGTATATAGTGAGTAAAAATATTATTAGGTTTCTATTTATTAATTATATGCAATGTATGATTTATTGTGTCCAATATAAATATTAATATTATAAATATATATATATATATATAATTTCATGTAGTATCATATGTATTTATATTTATATAATGTAATCTCTGATAATCAATTGCTTAAACACAAAAATTATGTTTATTCATTTAAATTTAAGTTTGACTGTTTATTTGGTAAGATGATTAGATTAGGTAATTCTATAATTAGTTTCTTTTTAAAAATTTGATTTCAATAAATAAAAATTCAAAACCAACAACTAACAAATCAAATTATGAGAATTAATACTAAACTTAATCTGTAAGTGACACCTAAGCAAAAATCACTAAAGTGACTTCGCAAATAATATATAGTAGGATATAATATAGATTAAGTTCTTGTTAATAATTAATTCTATATATTTTGCATTAAATAAAAATAGTACTTAAACAATAAACAACTTTACTCATCGCAATCAAAGGTTCTTAACTTTTTATTATTTTGGAATAGTCTTCTTCTTACTTTTTTTTTTCTTTGGCCATTGAGTAATTGATTGAATGAAAATATATCTTAATTAACTTCTTTTTTTTAACTATTATCTAGATTTGATTTTATTTGATTTGATTTTTTATATATTAAAAAAATTTGTAAAATTAGATGGTATCATGACGTTTTTTTAGAAAAACAAAGAAGTCAAAAACTGTAAATAACTGAGCCATTGATCGTTCTGTTTATTATTCTTTAACACTCTATTATTTATGAACACCTGATTCCTTTTTAGTAAATAATAGTTCTGATAACATACCTCTTTAAAACTCATATAATATGAATCAAATTAAATAATAATATTTTTAGTATAAAAAAGAACAAAGCGAAAACCGGGAGTATAAAATTAAAACAAATCCAAATTATATATAGTTCCAATATGGTAACTAATTTTTATAAACGGAAATAACGGAAAAAAAAAAACTGAATCAAAATCGGCCAGAATGCCTACAACATACTAAAGATTTGACGTTCATGATTGTACATGAATGTATTGATCTATATTTTCATATATATTACTTCCTCTGTTTCACTTTATTTGTCATTTTAGAGAAAAAAAAATTGTTGCAAAATAAATGACATTTTATAATTTCAGTGCATAATTTATTAGTTTCATCTATTTGTCTATTTTTCTATTGGTTAAAATGTGATTATGTGTATATGTAATTGTGTTTTTTTATTTTGAAAATATACAAAATTAAATGATTTTTTAATATGTGTGGACAAATTAAAATGACAACTAAAATGAAACGGATGGAGTATATTAGATCGTAACCTATTAGGAGAAACTTACATATCCAGTGATCTTTAAAATGAAAAATATGCGGTGAGCGTGGATCGAACACGCGACCTTCAGATCTTCAGTCTGACGCTCTCCCAACTGAGCTATCCCCGCTTGGTGATATCTACACTAATGTGCCAAACTTATTTAAGATTCACTAGGTATGCTCTAGTTAAAACTAAGAACTGCAATTTAATGTGAAGCTAAAATGAGATTAAAGAGATAGCCAGAATTATCAGTTGTAAGAAGAGGTATAGTCAAGAGTAGATCATCTTGGTCATGTGGATAAAGAGATTAAACCCTTTTCCATTTCGTAAGCAATATGACTGACAAAACAATGTGTGATTGTATTGAATATTCTATGCTGCCTCTATCGAATATCCCAAACGATAAAACATGTCTTATTATGATCTCACATCATATCTTGTTTTGTCTTAAAGGTACTTAAAGTGGTGCATTGTCAGTGTAGATTTAAACTAATAGATGTATGTTGAAATTATACTTAGAAGGATAACTTTTATCTTTTAGTTGATTCTCTGTTGTTGTGAAGTTCACTTTTCCCTCGTCCAGTGTCTTACTTGCATAACAATGGCTAGCCTTTTTGCTTTTCTTGAATAGTTCTGACATTGAAATCGTATGCATAAACCTCCAAAGAGTAGCTTCAATCCGAGGCTGGATCAAAATTTTTAGTTTACTTCAGTGTACTCTCATGCTTTCTTCTTCATTTTTCTAACTTGGAGATCTCAAATCTTTGCTTAGACGCAACTCTAACTTAAACATATGTTCCTCACATATAATTAGAAGCAGCAAGAAAAGAAAACTTGTAACATCTTATAAAAGGAATGAGTTGTATCAAAGAAGATCTTGCTTGTGAAGTTATTCCAAAGAAGGTCCAAATCCTAGTAAGCAATAGATGTTCTTACAGTGAACTCAAGGGAAAAAAAAAAAAAAGTTTTTCATAAAAAGATAACGATAACACCAAAACACCATTTCACTAAATAAAGAGTGCTGAAGGTAACACAGACAATTCCTCATTCCAGCTTGATGCGGTCCATGTCGTTTATCACACCTTCAAGCTGCACAATGAGAACAAAAACACATTTCATTCTTATCATATCTGCTATGTATGCGTGTGCCCTGTGCATAGATCTTAGATTCAGTTTGTTACCTTAGCAATCTGCCGCAAGAAGAAATCACCATAACGCTTTGCAGGTTTTGATTCCACAACGTAGATCATATCCTGCGGTTTTTTACACCAATTTAAAGTTACTACTAAGTCTAAAAGCACCGATGAAACTAAGATTTGAGAAAAAGTAGGAAAAGACATACATTGTTGATGTAGAAATCAATGTCTGCATTGGAGATGATCTTCCCATCAGAACCAACTGAATGAGTCTTGTGCTTGTATGTTAACAATATGGTCCTGCACGATTAAATTGGTACATGTTACATTGCTGAGACACTTTTAGTTTAAAGCTATCTATCTGCACATGGTTCCTCACCTTAGAGTTGGTTCATCAACTTCCATGTAGTTTGCAAGCTTAGCAATAGAAATGGAGGAGTAAACTTTTAGGAACGTCCTCACACCTGACAAGAGCTGCTGCTGCTTCACCTCATAAAGGAACATCTTCAACTGAAGCCTGTATGCATCCTGAGAGATGACACACCCTGTTAAACACACAAGTCTTCTTCAACAATCGTTAAAGTCAAGTTTAGTACCTGATTGTAATTGACAAGAGGCTCCTCAAAACTTGGTGCAGAAGGGGTGATGAACTTGGGGCATGCGTAAGAGAAGAGCTCGTCATAGATACCAAACGCTTCATCGTCGTACCTCTGCATCCTCATCATCTTTTCACCATACTTCTCACGCAACTGAGAGTTGACAGACTCGTCAACAAGCTTTGTCTGAGGGCAGAGGGAGAGCGAAACCGCAAGCAAAGCATACATCTGCTCATTCTTCTTTAGTAACTGCTCATACTGAGGTGACTTTTGATGGTACTGCTTCGTCTTGTAAATGTAGAGGAGAATCTTGTTGAACTCACGAACCGCATCAACATACCTTCGCAGCATAAGGTTGGCGAATCCATAGTGATAGATAGTTGCAATATGGCAACCAATGACACTGGTGTAAACACCTTGCTGAGTAATATCAATGGGCTGCAACCACTTGAGACCGGTATGGTAATCACCCAGGAGGCAATGAACACGCAACAAACCAACCATGCTGAAGTAACCAAGGACCTTCAACACGTTGCTTCCACCACTGTAATCGTACCCGTCAGTAGCAGTGAACTGCTCAAGCCCTTCCTTCTCCTGCTCCAGAATCTGGATGATGGTGGACTTCTCCACAAGCGCTTGCAAGAAGTTGAGCACACCATACACATTCCATGCCTAAGATAATGTTGCAAATCAGATTATATCTTACCTTAATGAGAAAATTAAAAAAAAAAAATTACCTTGTCATTCTGTTTCAGCAATGCAATCTCTTGCTCTGTCTTGTTCTTCATCTTGGCTCTGTACTGACAGAAACTCTGGAACTGGTAAACAAACTCATCAACCATATCCCACAACCACTGGTTCGGTAGTTGCATATTCACTACACCGTGCAACACCACCTACACATTCATAACACACAACAGTAAGCATAACAATAATAAATTAGCCCAGTGGTAAAGGAGTGTCTAGTAGCCACTCTGCCCACTCGGGTTCAATTCTCGCTGGGAGAATCTAATAAATTCAACAACAAGTATATGACTAACTAAACCTAATCACAGGACCAAACCCTAGTTCTATTGAGACAAATCTAAATCTAAATAAATTTGAGAGAAAACAAGACCTGAAAGAGGCTGCAATAGTTATCATAGGAATCAATCCTCTGCTTCAACGTAGGAGACAGCCTCGCGTACAAGTGTCGGAACCACATCTCACGGTAAAGAAGGCAAAAGACATGGTCATTGTCCACATAAGGAGCTATGGCTTCGACGGAAGGCCAAGGCGTGTCCTTGAAGAGACGTTCGGACAGGGTCTGGAAAGATGCCTCGCACATCTGGTGGATCTCGTAGACGTTCTTCTCCCTGATGTGTCTGTAAATGTGAACCACGAAGGATTTGACTGAATCTGGAACGAAGTTTGGGTCGTAGACGGCGTCTTGGCCGCCCTGACGCTGGACATCGTCGTAGTTCGATGGTGTGTCTTCGAAATCGTAGGTGGTCGTCATTATCGTATCTCTTGTGTCTCTCTTTGCTGATGAGCTGAAGAATAAGGAGAGACGGAAAGAGGAGGAGAGACACAAGAAGGTGTAAAGCTAGGGCTTATTAAAAGAACGATAACCGGTTTAGTTCGGTTTGTGAAATTGAAATCGAAATTGATTGTTTAATTTATACCGGAATTTAAAAAAAAAAGTAAGTATAAGTAAACCGGTTTATTCTTTTTTCGGACAAAAACATAGAAGGTTC